ACATTCGTTGCGATGTTCATGAACAGAGGATGATAGGAAGCGGAACTAACATTTATTGTAATAGATTTTTGTTTTGCGTGTAGCAATACGTTAAAAAATATGACCAAATATTCATGAAGTAATGACATTGGGTTGTTAGCGGAATGCTTAAATAAAACAAAGAAAAAGGTTATCTTCCATTTAATTCCACTTAATTATTCATGTTCAGCATGTTCATGTTCAACGATATTTTTCAATTTTTATGTGTCCATGGTTTGAAATAATCCATAAGTTTACATTTTTCATTAGCTTTTTTAATAACATAGGGGAAATGACTCTAATGTTGGCCTATGGATCTAAGATCGGGCTTATTGCTAAAAATCTGCTATTTATCAATTTTATCTAGATGAACGCGTCATTGGGACGGTACTAATTGATATTTTTGGTCGCTATTGAAAATTTAGTCGATTGCTGAATTTATGTGTGGGCCCAAGGGCATTTAGGCTGACATTACATTCATTTCCCCTATACAAGAATTTATGGTATACTTTTTGAGATATTTGAGTTTTGAACTCTTTTCTGGAATTTTTACTCAAAGTTACTAACAACTTTTTTCAGCAAGACATAATTTTTCTCATTTTGACCACTTTTAAAACTTTTGTAAATTGTGAATTATTGCCAACGACGCACAATTATACAAAGTTTTATGCAAATCGGAGAAGGTCGAGTATTTCCAATTCATCGTTTGGCGTGGAACTGCTCATATGTTAAATGTTGGATTTAAATTATTATTTTTTAATTGAAGTGTTATAATTCTAAATAATAAATTTTGATTTTTAAATAATGAAGATTGAATTTAAAATTTATATGTTAGAATTTTAAATTTTTAATTTATAATCGAAATTCTGAAATTTTCAATGGTATTTTTTTCATTTTACATTTGAGTTATATATGAATATATTAATAGTAGCTATTTTTGCAAAAATCGAAAAGTCCCTTTTAGTTAGCGTAGACACGTTTCTGATGAATAGATTTTCCAATTCATTAATGATATTTGACAGGAGCCAGTAATCCAGTAAAAATAATTAACTATAGTATCTATAGTCCGCTCAAAGGGAAGGTCACTCCAAACACCAACCTTAGTTCAATTTTTTTTCTCAGTGTGCCACAAGTGTGCCGCTTGTATGCCGATTGTAATTGTGATATTTGGCAATCCGGTATTTCTGACAGCTTGAATGTTTTAGTTTGCAATAGCAGTCTAGCGGCAACCAAGGAGGAATGCAATATCTAAAAAAGAAAATGACATCGAAACATACTAAAGGTTGACTAAAAGAATTGGTACCCCCTCGCGGGCCGCTAGCACGCCTCTAGTGTTGGGAATCGAAAATCTTTGACAGTGGTTTGTTTACACTTCTATAGAGAACAAAAAGTGGTGCAAGTTTGATCAAAGTAGTCGATCGCGTTCAGAAATAACGTCAGATGGAACTTGAAAGAAGAAAACATATTGTGCACAAACATCTGGAAAATCCGGAGTGACTGGCTAAAGTGCTGAAGATGCCGAAAACAACAGTTTGTCGAGTGCTCAAAACTTACAAGGAAACCCTGATTGTGGAAAGGAATCAGCGGATCTACGAAAAAACTGGAACCAGGCAGCGTCAGCTGCGCAGCAAGGTGTTGAGGTGCGTTAAAGCCAACCCCGGTGTGGCCATAAGGTACAACGCCAACTTTCAAACAGTGCGGAACATCCTTGCCAGGGAAGGAAACAAGTCGTACAAAGCCAGTAAACATTCGAATCGGCACATGAAGCAGAATTCCATGGCCAAAGAGCGTGCACGGCTCTGGTACGACCGTGTTTTGACGGAACCATTCGTTACATCCTCGACGATTGCATCCCAAGTCTACATCAAAGAATGCCTGAAAAAGCGTGTATTGACGTTCATCCGCAAGCATAGGGACAAAGTCATCTTTTGGCCCGATTTGGCCAGCTGCCACTACTCCAAGGTGGATCTGCCAACAAGATCGATTTTGTCCCAGAGCTATGCATCCTCCAAATTGCCCGGAATTTCGACCAATCGAAAAATACTGGGCAATTTCAAAGTAGCGACTTCGACGAAGCGGCGGCTCAAGGACATCCAGTAAATGCGGGCAAAATGGAAGTAATGCGCTGATTCCGTGTCCGTTTCCACTGTGCTGGCGCTGCTCCCATTATGTTTAATGAACAATCCAATGCCTACAGGATTGTGCCGAAAGTGTGCCGATGGATGTTCCCAAGCTATTATTGAGTGACTTACCCCTTAAGTCCACTCCGCTTTTGTCTTGGACCTTCTATTCTATTCAATAATATGGCTCACCTGCTCTACCAGATTTTCAAATTCAAATTGTGCATCGTAAATTTTTTAAATGCATCGTTCCAATTAACGAGGAACCACGATAGTTAATTAATTTTACTTTTAGGCAAACAAACGATTAATTGAACGCCATGCTTGGAATACAAAAGGTATGGGGGGGGGAGTCAGATTGATTGACTTTAGTCCGATTCGGTCATTAGTTTGACTGTGTGAAATAAGAAGAATGAGTTTAGAAAATGTTTATGAAATGTTAGACTTAAAAAATGAGATCCATCGGGAAAAACAGGATGAGTTCCCAATACCATACCCGAGAACATTAACCCAAATTAATAAGCAAAATAACTATAAAAATTTTAAAACAGTAAAAAAGGTTATCTTCCATTTAATTCCACTTAATTAATTTTGGTATCTATGACAGATACGTATTTCGACTACAATGTGCAGTCTTCATCAGTGTCATTCCCACTAAATTAACCCCCTTAAGTACTCATCCCTTAGGTAAAAAAGTCAAGATCAATTTTTCAATTAAACCTGCTTTTCCACCAAACTTATTTCTGGCAGACAAGGAATCAATTTTGACAAAAAAGCCTTTTCGAAAATTGGACAATCAACAACAAAGGGGTTTTAATAACATAATAATTTATTTTCGAAGTGTCAAACTTAAGTGGAATTTTCACTTAAATTTGACAGATGATTTTTTTTTAAATAAACCTGCTAGAATAGGAAACTTTTTTCTGACAGACAAGGAATCAGTTTTTACAAACACGTTCTTGAAAATTGGCTGATCAACAACAGAGGGATTTTCGAAAATTTTATTTTTTTTCGAAGCGTAACATTTAGGAGGAAATTAATCAATTAGACCACAGCTTAAATTTCTTAAGCTTCGCAGAATTTGCGAGATGTTGAACTTATAAAATAAAACACGATCCTGGATTTAGAAAAAAGAAATCTCACACTTGAAAAAAATATCAAAATCCCAAATTGTGACTAGTTATGTACGTTCGATCATGAAAAATAAATGTTCTGTTGCTGTATTCTGGGGCCACATTATATACGACGATCGATAGGACCTCTTCATACCAGCAGTGCATACTGACTTTGAGCATTTGAAGACTTTATCGATAATAAATAGGTGTGGATTGTAGTGAGCTAAACACACTTGCATTGAGGTTTTCCATGCTCGCCTCATAGCCATTGGATGAAACCCTTCCCAAAATAGATTTACAGCTAATAATCGGCTGTAGGTATACGTATCAAGTTTCTACATTCGGTGGCTCTCTTACCACCCAGAGTACGAGAGTAAATTTAGTAGGGGTCCCGGGAGTGGAAAATATCACATTATACCACTTTGACCGATCCCTACTGTGTTCCCAAGCGCGAGGGTAGAAGCGAGAGGACCAGTCCAGCCCAGTTTGATGTTGTGCTGGCTATATCTATCCAATTTAGTAGCTTTCGGCCAAAAGGGGCCAACCTATACGACGCTAGCACAATGATGCATTAGAGCCGCAGCAGCATTGGCCGTGTTTATCCCATAAACGGCACAGCGATGTAGTTTGGGAGTGGGTAAGGGAGAGTGAAAGAGAAAGTGTTGTGGATGAAACGCGTTACCAAAAAAATCCAATGCCGAGGCCTACCTCGATCCGGGGAAAAACGTGGCAACAGCGCCGACGCCTTTTCCATGCTTATGCTCTAACCGATGCGAACGAGGCGATGTTGGACTTCCTCCTAGCAGCCCTCCCAGTTCCTGGTAGGCAGTGCGCGATGAAGCGAGGGTTTCTACATGATTTTGTTTGGGAGTAAGAAAGAGAAGTCCACGGCGTTACTCTCTCCAATCTTTCGCTATCGGCTTTGGGTTAGCGCTCTTGACTGTTGTTGGGGTTCTAAGAACCACCTATGATTTTTAGATTTATTTTATGTGACAGGATCGAGAAAATTCTTATTTACAACTTTCTAGAAAATTAGAAGGTAGAGAAAATAGAGTGAAATTTAAATTTAATTATTAATAAAAAAAAATCATATTATGAAAGTCATGTGCAATCAAACACGGCTAGTATACTGGTACTATGGAAAGACAGTCCGGCATAAAAAAATCAACTTGGGTGATGCTGGAAATAGCATTCCCTGCCTCCAAATTATGCTGCAGAGCGCGGAGGGTACAACATTTATTGAAAACTTGCCCGCTGCTTTGTACGATTCTCGCTCTCTTTCCCCCGTTTGTGTTTTGCTCGAATCGTTTCGTTTGTGTGCTGCTGCATAACCTAGATTTGATAGCAATAGGGTTGGTTTCCGAAAAATTATATCAAATTACACTTCCTAACTAATAGCGAATTTGTTTATTATTCAGTTCCAACCTGGATCGGGTATTAAGATCGGGTCTGCTTGTTTTCTGACAAACTTCAGTTTGATCGTTTGTTTTTAAAACTTAAATCAGGTTGAGGTTCCCACTGACAAAAAGTTCGGTTTCGCACTTGGTTGGTTGTTTTTGAAGCAAATAGTAAAAAACATTCTCAAGTTTTTGGGTATAATCTGGGTTAATACAATTTTATGCATGTAGCCAACCCTATTGCTGCGTTGCCTCCGTTTGCTGGTGTGTTCGTGAGGCGGAGTGGCTAAAGTTAACGCGTTCTCTCCCATTTTCGGCTTTGCAGAAGCCACACGCCTCTGTGCCAGCCAGAAGAGGCATCAGCGTTTTGTCTGAGTTTTTTCGCGACATCGAAAAAGTCATTCATTGTTGTCGGCAGCTGTCAGAAGTGGCGTCAAGCGATAGAACTAGTAGTTTGCGTTGTTTGTGGGCAGTGCGATTGATTGCCAAATTTTGAATAAGAGAAAAATTTGAAATTTTAGCTGAACATCTAGTGACTTTGGAAAAAGAAAGAAAGTCTGGAGGCCACACATACAAGTGAGCAGATTGTTTTATGTTTGTGTACTTACGCGTTGAGATATGTGAATACGGTATGGGCCAAGTGTAAGCAGTGAAGAAAAATGACCTTTTCGATGAGATGTGATTCCGTGGAACCAGTTCGAAAGTGAAGCGAAATAATGGAAGCATCCGTAGTGAAGGAACCGGCTGATGATCCGGTTCCGGCGAAGGTATGTTCAGTTCTGGTGTAAGTTAGTCTGACGTTTTGAATCTCAGAGTGAACAACGACAGGAAATTTTTATTGCGAGTGGAAATCGTTCTGGTGGGTGTTTCGTATTTACCCTCCCCTGGGCGGGGGCTTTCGGGGTGTTTCTCTCACTCGCCCTGCCAATGCCAGCCAACGTCAGTTGTCAGTGTCTCGCTCTAATTTGAAAGTGAATGAACCGCGCGACGATTGCAAAATTGGGCGCAAAATACGCCCGTTCGGTGCTTGATACGGCCCCGGAGTATGCCTCCAAATGGTGATTTTAATGTCGATAGTGCTTATTTTATGATAGCGTGCCGGAAATGTGCCTGATGTGACCCGTATTTCGATTTTAATCAAAGTGCCCCGTCGCCAATGGCGGGCGCCATATTGGATCTGCCGTCGTGGAAAGAAAATTGTGCTTTTTGCCTCCTACATTTCACTGGATTATTACGTTCGGACCATGGCTGTTCGAATACTTTGGTCAACGTGTTTTACAACCAGAATTCGTGATAATTTCTGTATAATTGCATAGAAAACGTCATAAAATAGCATTAGAGTGCCCCAAAATTGCCATCTATCACAAACTGTACATGACTTTGTGTTTGTTGCGTTATCTTGGTTCTAAAAATCCAATTGCAATACTTGTCTCCGCCTTCTCGCTCGCGAACCGTAATCGAGTGCCTACAGGGTGGTGCTTCGTATCTCTCGGACCGATTCTCTCCTGATTTTGGAATTCCTTCTGAGAGAGAACTTGCCTCCTTTTCTTTTGGCGTGTGGTCTCTTTTCCGCGCGAGACAGCCCACACGCACACAAACGACACTGGCCGTAGCCGACAACTTCGGCATTTTCGGTTTGTTTTGATTCCCGTTCGTCGGCCGGGCGGTCTGTTGAACACAGTCGTGCAGGCAGATCGCTTGCTTCGATTGCGTTTATCGGAGAGGCACGCACATTTTTACCCCTCATCCGAGTAGGCTCAGGCTCACCAGGCTGGATGGAGTAGGATTTTTCTCTCCGCTCTCGCTCTTCAGCTGGGGGTGCACCGCGTGCAGCATAATTTTGGGGTGGGACCGGGAAAACTGTCCCACTCTCGTCGTCTTTTGATGTGCGATGCATGCTTCTCGAAAGTCACGTGTAGTGCGGGTCGCTAATGTGCGTGTCGGCTCGCGGGAAGAGAGTGCGGTGCGAGTGTTTAGAATATTTTAATGGATGTAAACAATGCGTTTAGGTGTGGGTGAAACGGGATTGTTGTTTGATGTCAGTGGTGCAAGTGCCCGCGTGTTAATTGTGTTTTCGAATCATACATTTCGTATTGTTTTTATCGGATTATCATGTAGTTCCGGAACGTAATTCCATTCGTAAACAAACACGTCAATCGCTGATTTCTCGCGAATAAAAGCTCAATCTCGAAAACTAATAACACTATCAGGTAGAGCATTGATTCCTCTTACGTTAGCTATAGTTTGTTTATGAGGTTAAGCCTTTATTCGTGAGAAATTGACGATAGATGTGTTTGTTTTCAAAAGCTATTACGCCAAATCTGAAGTTTTTTTTTTAAATTATGTTTAAATTTTTGAAAATTTCGTTAGTAAATTTTTGTTATGTAATTTTAACAATGTAAATAATGTTTGAGTACAGGTATACCTCAACATAACGTAACTGTCACTTTTGACTTCCATCGTCAATATCTCGCTAATAACAATTGAATCATACACATTAATATTACCAATAGATGGGAAAGAGAATTGCGAGAAATCGGCGATGGTAGTCAAAAGTGATAGTTGAGCAATTCCATACAAATTCGCAAATCAGTTTATTTTTTTGATTTGGTTGAAAATTTGCAGAAACGTACTTCCTATGCCATTTTGTATCTTTATATCGCTAATTTGAATCCAGCCTTATTTTTGCAAAGGGCCTATAAAAAAATATCAACTATATTTTTACTCGAAAACGATAGGTTTGGTGTCTTGCGTAATATTGAAGATAATCAATGAAATGAATGAAAACAAAAAATATGCATCTTTTTTTTTTTTTAAATATCCAAAACTTGGTCAAATTACTATTTTGACTTTATATAATGAAAGTACACCAAATTTACAATAAAAAAGCACCTAAGTAAAATTTTGCTAAGTCGCACCGTTTTCGAGATGTAGCGATTTGAAAGTAGATATTTTTAAAATCTTGCTTTTGGCCATTTTTAAATGTATTTCGCCAGTTCCGAAAAAAATCTGATCTTTCCGAAAAAAAAAATGTCGGTTCTGATCTAAGATGTTTTACCAAGAAAACGCTTCTCTGTTCGAATGAAACCTCAGACCATTCAAATCGAAACATCGAAATCCGCTTTTTCGAATGATTGCTGCAACCGGATGATGGTTATTTTATTATCAGATGATGCTCTTCTCGAATACAGGATAAACATTTTTTCTAGAAGGGAACGGACCACTGTTGAAATACGTAATGCACTCTGTATAATAGTTGGCATCCCAAATTGAAATGCATATGATATTGGTTCAGCCCCAAATCGTCCAAAACGATGATGTAAATAATTCTATCGAACATCATTTGTAGACCTGAGTTGACAAACAAGGTGGAAACAAAGCCATCGCTATCAGAGGTGGTACGAACATTGGTAAAACGTGGAAGTCGTGGTGGAGGAAGTTTTCGCTACCAACAAACGATTGTTGCATCCATGTTGGAATGGCTGTTCATAGCTATTCCATATGAACATTTAAAAAATCGAATTTTAAATCTAATTTAAAGCATTTGCGAGTCATCCTATTCTTAAATGGTTGTCCTCTGAGCGCTTTATGTTTGTGCAGCCAATTTTCAAATAAATATACTTTATTTGGATGACAGTCATATGGATGCTTATCAGCTGATGACGAATTCAACCATAAGGTAATCATCCGCAATTCCAAATCATATTGTCAAAAGCTCGAGCAAAGCTATAATCATTCTAAGTATTGCGAAGGGTTTCGTTCAGTGTATAGCAAGAAGGAGCCTGGGATTGTACCCACGATCAGTAAGCAAAAACGGTAGCTAATATTCCACCGTGCTCTTTACATCAGAACAAACCACTACGACCGACGATCGTTTAATACCGGCGATATGAAGCTACTAAAATAGAAAGACGTCCCAAGAAGAAGTCAACGTCAACCATGTTTTTGAACCTGGATCGAGGATATGTCGTTTCGTGTTTCCTGGGAACTTCTGACTCTTTGAAAAATTTTCGAGTTCCGTTACTTTAAGTCTCTTGAACATATTTTAAAAATGTTCCAAGGTTTCAACATATCCGACTTAGACATATTTCTGCGACAGCCTGCAACTGAACTGCGGCTCTTAACGCAGAGCTGGGATTAGTTTTAAGAGTTATTAATTAAACGTTTATAATCTTAGCCCTGTGCAATGCCGATGTAGAGCTTCATTATTGCTAGTAAGCACTGAATAATGCTGAATCGAAGATTTAAATATTTGAACTAATGCTCATCCCTTCCTTGGTCTATCGCTGCCGTTTCGCCACTATCTAATATAGTTAATCTTCTTTTTGAAACAATAACTCTAACACCTTCTTCCGTTTATCCACCCGTTCCAGTGAGCCATTCAGCTCACGTAACAGTTCTTATTAGAGGAACCTAAAACCAACCGATCAACCAACCAACAAACAGAGAGACTGCTCGAAACAACGAATCTATTAAAACTGTAGTACTATCGACACAAATTTTAGTAATAATGATCTGTCGGAAGAAAAAGTGGTGTCATTTATCGACGTAAAGTAGTACTATTCTAGATCGGTAGGAAACATTGATCCCGCCCGCCTAATGGACTCGTCCCAGGGCAATCTAGCGCCCGGGCAAGAGATACGAGTCGTCAGTGCCTCGGTAGTGGCGCAACTCCAAGCCCAAGGATTACAGGTCCGTTCACAATACGATTGTTTCTTAATTTGTTGCTTTTTGGGAATGGCTTCTGGTGTTATCCTTTGTCTCTTTTTGCGCTTTTGAAGTTCAATATATGCCGCGGATACACTTGCATGACAATCTATGAACATGAGCATTATTTGTGTGATACATTATGAGCAAATCCAAAAACTATACAAGTGTGCTCATACAAATACAAATAATGCTCATGCTCATAGTTGGCCATACAAGTGTATCAGCGGCAATAGTTTCATCATTAATAACAATGGTCTTCTTTAAGGGCAATGAACTCAACGCAGCCATTATGGCTGCTTCGCAGCCGCAAACTGCTCAACAGCAGGCTATGCAGCAACAGCAAATACAGCAGCAGCAACAGCAAATGCAGCAACAACATTTACAGCAACAGCAAATGCATCAACAGCAACTGCAGCAACAACACCAGCAGCAGCAGCTTCAACAACAACAACAACAAGCTCAACAACAACAGCAGCAGCAGCAACAACAACAACAACAACAACAACAGCAACAGCAGCAACAACAACAGCAGCAGCAGCAGCAGCAGCAGCAGCAGCAGCAACAAGCCCAACAGCAACAACAGCAACATCAAGCTCAACAGCAACAACAGCAACAACAGCAGCAACAGCAGCAGCCGCAACAACAACAACAACCTCAAGCGGTGAGTTTGTATGATCTTCAGCAATCCGCCAACAATCATTTGTTGTCCGGATTTCATCGCTCGTTCTCTGCTTCCCATCAGGCTCAAGTTCAGCAGCAGCAAGCTCAGCAACCGACTCAGCTTCAGCAGATCCAACAACTTACTCAGATTCCCCAGCAGCAACCACAGGTGATCACGCTACAGCAGCTGCAAAATTTTCTGCCTCAGCATCAGTTGAACACGATCACCACTGCCGATGGGACACCGGTGCAAGTCTCGTCGGCCACTACAACACCTGTTGGAACGCCAGTTAAAACCTTTGTCACCTCACCGCCTCAGGTTCAACAGCCGCAGATTCTGAATCTCCAAGGACTGCCCCAGCAATTCCTTCAGGGTGGACAGTTCATTCAGAATCCCAATGGATTGTTCCAGATGATCCAGCCCGTTCAGACGATCAACGTCGATGGGCAGGAGACGCTTTTCGTTCCTGGAGGTATACAAGGAAACCAACTGGCCGGTGCGCAAGCTGTGCAGATCAACGGACAACAGGCCTTCATAACCCCGTCAGGACAACTGATTCGGGCTCCCAATGGGGTTGTTCCGAACTTCCTGCAGAACATGACACAGGCAGTCCAGTTGCCTAATGGTAAGTGCTCGATATCCGTATGCAATTCTAAAGGTGTGGTTCATGACTGGTGTTATTCGTTCGTTGTATCATCAATCGCACTTTTGTAACGCTTTGTTGTTCGCCATAGATACAAGTACTGTTCCACGCAGAGCATGTCCTTCTGCCACACCGTATCATCCTACACATTGAATCCATTCAAAATTTGTATATTGCACGCACGTAACCTTATCCAACATTCGCTCGAATTCTCTGTATTTCCATGCAGCTGGTCAGGCTACGCTTACTATCCCGGGAACTAATATAACAATCCCTTTGGGTACGACAAATACGGCCAATGTTCTAGCGCATCAGCAGCAGCAACAACAGCAACAGCAGCAGCAGCAACAGCAAGCGGCTGTTGTAGCTGCAGCCAATGCTGCCGCTGCTAATCAGCAACAAAACCAAGCCCAAGGGCAGCAGCAACAGGCTCAGACTCAAGCTCAACAACAACAGCAACAGACCCAACATGCACAAGCGCAGGTTCAGATTCAAACACAACAACCCGCAACTCAGCATATTCAGCAAGTCCAGCCAGCTACCATTACCATTCCCGGTACCAATATTCAAGTACCCACCTCAGCCGTAACCGCTCAGAACATTTTGCCTAACAATATAACAACCATTAAACTGGAAGGAGGTAATTGACGCTCATCTTCATTTTTTCTGTTTTCTGTACATTACGCTTATGTTTTCTCGACTCCTGACGTGCATTGAGTTACTCCATTCGTTTTGCATGTAGTTATTGTTTTTGTTTACCTTCGGTGATGGGTTCAGCGGCTCACTGTATGACATCACTAACATAACTCTCGTCACTTCTGCAGGTCAAAATGTGCAGGTGCGACAGGCCGGAGCGATGCCGCAGGTTGTTCAGTTTCCCATGCAGCAGACCATACCGGTACAGGTTCCGATCTCGACCGGTAACGGCCAAACCGTCTACCAGACCGTCCATGTGCCAATTCAAGCATTCGGTTCGGCCCTAGTCCAACCGCAGATGCAAGTGATACCACAAATTCCCCAGGTAGCTAACATAATCACGCCAAGCGGTCAGATACAGCAAGTTCAGCTAACCTCGCTGAATTCCTTAGCTGGTCTACAGCCTGCCCAAGCCCCGCAGAATATAATACTCCAGCAACCATCGAACCTGGCACAATCGTCGGCTCCTACTGCGATGAATGCTGGTAACCAACTGGTATCTTCCCTGCAGGCGGGTACTGTTCAATCCGGTGTAGCAGCTAGTCAGGACAATGGTCAACAGGGTCAACCACAACCGCAACCCCAGCACCAACCGATTACGATCGCTGGCCCGCAAGTCGGACAGCAGATCACTGTGATACCTTCCGGCACGCTGCCGCAGCTGCGGCAGAATGCAGCCAACATCATTCAGATGCCCAATATCCCAGGACTGCAAGCTATCCCGGTCCAAAACATTCCGGGCATCGGAAACGTTCAGGTGATCCCGACAAATTTCATGCAACCGGTTCAACCGCAAACAGCGGCGTCGCAGCCTCAGTTGAACCCGGTCAATCAAGCAGGGCAAACTATATCCCTCCAGCAGGCAGCGGCGCATCAATTATCAAATATAAAGCCGGATCCAAGCGACCCCGGTAAGTGGTACATCAAGCAGGAAGTAATTCCGATCCAACCACAACCGGTGGCTGCGGTGACGACGACGACGGCGACAGCCGTTGGATCTGGCGGTGGCAGTGGCATCAATGCTGGCAACACTGGTGCCAGTGGCACCAGTGTTGGCAGCACGGTAGTTACTTCACTTTCGCAACCGATGATCAACACCAGCTTAGCTGGGACGCACCAGATCAAGGGTGAGATACTGAGTCCCACGACGCAGACGTCGGTGAACGTGAACATCAGCGTGGGAAGTGGCGACGGGACGGGGAGTAATGGCAACGGCGAACAAACGCCCAAACCGCGGGTGCGGAGAGTCGCCTGTACCTGTCCGAACTGTGAAACGAAGGGCGAAGGGCCATCGGACCGGAAGAAGCAACACATCTGCCACGTGAGCGGGTGCAACAAGGTGTACGGGAAGACGTCACATCTGAGGGCGCACCTCCGGTGGCATACAGGTGAGTTTTGATGATTTTGACACAGAGGTGAATCGTTGTTTGAACTTTCAGGTCCTCAGCTTGTCACCTTCTACTTCATCAAAGTTAGTCAGATTTTTAACCAAGAAGTCTTACGATTGCTAGAATCTTGAAAGCAAAAGCTAATTTACCAGTTCACAGAACTTGAAGGGGTGTTAACATGAATTTTATGGGAAGGCCATAAGACTTTTAGAAAAGTCTACTGGACGTGCACAGAAAGTCGATAAAACTTTTAAGAAAGTCTACAGGACTTCTAGGAACATCTACAGGACTTCTACGTGACGCCAAAAGCCTTTGAGGATATTTCTGGGGACTTGAGAAAAACTGTTAATGAAAGTTTCCAGTTGGAAGTCTAGAAAGTAATCCACGAAACATTTAAGAGAACTCCATGCAACTGTTAGGAACGTCTACAAGACGTCTTGAAAAGTCTAAAGCACTCCTATGGAAACCTTACAATACTTCAACAGAGATTCGATAGAAACTCATTGATCCTCCACGGTAAATTAACAAGACTGCCACATGACGGGTATAGCACTTCTAAGAAAAAGCGGAGACGAGCCAGCCAACGGCTGAAAGTCTCCTTAATAAAGATATAAAAAAAAAAACTTCTAAGAAAAGTTAACAGTACTTATGGGAAATTCTACAGAAATTCGAACGAAAGTTCATAGTGCTTCCATGAAAGTCTAAAGGTCTTCTAGGGAAAGTTCATTGGACTACTAAGATGGGAAATCCATAAGGGTGAGGCGAAGCTAAAAAAGGAGGATTGCAATTACAGGGCTGTTACAACAGGCGCGGATTTCGCGAATTTCGCGGATTTCGCGATTTTCGCGGATTTGTTGCGGATTTGAACTTTCAGTCGCGAAAATCGCGGAAACATTAAATTGCGAAGGGACTGACGTGCTGTCACAAAAATTGTGGAATTCATTGTAACCTTTCCGTCCCGGACTATTTTGCTGTCATCAATTTTGTTGTTGTTACCGGTTCAAACCAAACATCCTGCAAATAATCGAGAAATGATCTCAATTCCATAAGTACCACTGGATTTACACGGAAATTCCCTGAGGTCTGTCCAATGTGAGACATTTTCCTTTTTTTCCAATGGGAGCATAGAATTTTTCGTTGTCAAATCATAAACGAATCGTATATAATCAGGTTGTCCATCCAACCGGGAAATCCGGGAAAAACCGGGAATTTGGATTTGCCGGGAAAAAACCGGGAAAATGCGGGAAAACCCAAATCGCACCGGGAAAGATAATGTATACTCATTCTAAGTAACAATTTTGGTTTTATCATAGTCTTGTAGGCCATAATTTGGTCTTCAAGAATCATTTAAATCCTTATAAAACTTGCATTTTTACATGGAATCAATCATTTTTTTTTAATATGCATAATTATATTCATTTGTTACACTACTATTTACAATTTTCATATTATGCTTTCACTGTGGTAAAGTATCCAGATTCCTCAAAATTACAAAACAAATCTATTATTTTATTTTATTTGTTGGAGCATGTGGAGCTACCAAGATAGCTTACAGGGTATTTTTTTTTTGGTTGTCATTGAATGAACATTTTTTTAATTATTTTGCAGTTTTCAGTTTTCTGAGTAAAGTAGTGTTAATATAGAGCCTAACCGAGACATATCTTGTCACGAAGCTACTTGAAGATATAGAAGCAAATTCATGCCAATTAAAAAAAAAAAGTCCGATCTCAAACACCATGCATACCCGATCATGCTTGGCTTGCAAATGTTCGACACCGTACACAATCAACAAACTTTAAAAAAAAACATGAGATGAATGGTCCAGAGAAAAATTAAAAATAATTTCTACACTTTGTGCTAATCAGGTACACAAAATTAGTCAGGATATCATAGAATACCTTGGTTAGCCTGTAAAATATAAAGATCTGAATCCATACCTCTCATGCTGAAGTCAATGTACTTGATTATCTTAGAGATAAATTATCCAGCTCAAACCTAGGGGTAATCATCATTATCATGAACCTAAATCTAACCGGGATAAGTCACGAATGATCCATTAGTGTTAAAGTTACTATTATATATAGTATAATATATAATAATATAATATATAAATTTAAAATAATAATAAAGATCAGAACTCCAATAATAATATTCCCAACCAGTCAAGCAACATTTTCGATTTCAATGTGGTCTTTAAGTCCATTCTAAGTCTATAAGGCCTCTTCAAAACCATGATAAAACCAGAATTGTTACTTGGGCAATTATATTATGGGGCTTCCCGAAGGTTTACCCATTCTATCATTAAGTCGAATCATCGTATTGATAATCTTAAATTATAATTCGACCGGAGACTCAAAATGCTCAAAAGTAGAAATCGAACAAGATATGTATCAACCTGTAAAATATCTCCAATACAATTTAAATATTTTGGTAACACATCTTTGTATTTCACTAAATGTTTTTAGGCATATAGAACTTCAACTCCTGGAAGATTTTAAGAATTTTAAATACTGCGTATTGATTTATGCTTTTTTCAGTTTCGTGTAAATACACGACGTTTGTTGGTCACGTGTGGCTTATGAAACTCTGGTAATTTGTCGATTATGTGATGTGCAGGGTATTTGGTTTGAATCGGTAAAAAATTGAGAAAACTAGAGCCAAATCAACTACAACATTTAGGACAGCAAAACGTCAGAGACGCAAAGGTCAATTTTCAAAAAAAAAAATGCAGTTCGAATGAAAATGCATTATTTTTTTTAAATAATGTTTCATCAAATCTAGGCCGGTATTATTCAATAAAATCTCATAATGTAAGTGTTTTATTATATTCGCTTATTACTCAGAATTTATGCTATACATAAATAACCGAAGATGATACTATGTTATTTAAAAAACTTCAAAGCATACAAACGATACTCCTTTAGCTCAGTCGGTAAAGGCGCAGCTACAAAGAAAGTCCATGCTGGAGGCGACTGAGTTCGATTCCCGTCCGGTCTATTAATTTTTCGGGTTGGTAAATTTCTCTATTTTCTTGGGCATAGGATGGTACAGGCATAGAAAGCTCTCAATTAAAATGTAATAGTACTTCAAAGAACACTAAGTTGAGAACAGGCAAAAATCTAATATGCTATGAGCAATAAGCTTGAAATGCCTTGTAGTAGTATACAAATGCTATTTTTAGGCAATGAAAACCGTTTTTTTTTTGTCGCGGATTAGTATTTGAAGTCGCGGTTTTCTTTTGAGAAATCGCGGATTTCGCGGATCAAATTTAGAAAATCTTGTAACAGCCCTGCAATTAAATCTGAGAATAACTCCAGAACATCTTCAACGGAATTCGAAAATAATTCACCGAGAGTTTGCCAAACAAATTACGGGGAGAAATCTAAGGAATTTGTGAGGTGAAATGCAAATTAATTTTTAGGAGGCTTTTAATATGAGTAGAATTCCAAGGGAAGCTGTGAGATTCACAAGGAACTCTGAATTCTGAGAATCTTTCAGAAAGAACAATTTTTGAGAAATATTTCAATGCAATTGCGAGAAGGATTCTAAGTATATTCTGGTGATTTTTTTTTAGAATTCAGCGAAGCATTTCAAGTTAATTTCTAGTATAACTCCATGAGAGTTTCGGGAGAATACAAAGCGAAAGCGAATTCGAAAGTACTTGAAAGATCCTCAAAAATTTCCTAAAGTTCTTTTGTAATTTGACAGACGAGCCTGATGTTCATAATACTTCTCATCTTATCTCTTATAATACTTCTTGCGTTGGCGGCGTTCTTAGGAGAATTCTCCTGAAATAAACTCTCCTCGATATTAATTAAGTATCTCCTGAAATTGCCATGGAATTCTTTGTAAATTCCTTGAAATGCTCCTCGCCTCTTTGGTTTCTCTAAAAATGATTACAGGAATAGCCGCGAAACCCTCTAAGCCATTGAAATTTACCTCAAACTTTGTTGGAAATTTCCATTAAACTTTCCTTAGAATTCCTTTGGAATCATCCTCAAAATGTTCATTCAATTCATTCCAAACTCTCTTTGGATTCTCCTTCTTCTCTTGGAATTATACTCACCAGTTCCTTACAAATCCCTTAGGCAGAACTGTCTAAGAAATTCCCAACAAATTCATTCATTAATGTACATAAGCTGAGGAACTTTTGCAAGGACTTTGTTTTTTTTTTAAATCTGGGTTCTTGGAAACAAACAAATCAATGTCCGTCAACTTTAATATTTATTTTCGTTCCAGATTCTTGACAATTTCTCCCAGTCTGATTTTATTAGGTCTAGGGTTTCCAAAATGTGTTTAAAATCTGTAGAAACTATTCATAATTCAGAACCCTGAAAAAACAATTCAAGATTCAGAATGTATGTAAATTTATGTGAAGATCAAGCCACTTCAGAATATTATGTTCAAAGAGTAAAAATGAATAACGAGGAAAATAAAGTTAGTTTGTATTGTTTTGTAAGAAAAAATATGTTTTGAAATTTTTGAGAAGGTTCCTTGGCGTACTTTAATATATTCTATTCTAATTTTTAAGAATTGCTTGATACGAAAATTTCGAAATTTCCCGAGAATTCCAGATTTTTTCAGGAAGCATAAAATTCCCCGTTGATTTCCAGTTTTCCAAGCGTTTCCAAGTTTTCCAAGGTAGTAGACACCCTGTGTCAGCAGTTATACAAGGAAATTCATGCTATTAACTCAGTTTTTATCCAAATATTTGATTACAAAATATTGTGGTCAGAAATTACATTCCAAAATTTCGGCTCATTTTGACATCTAAATTGCAGGGTAAAATGAAAAATCAATCCTTTCACGCCAAACAAAAGCACTCTTTTCTATTGCACCTAAAAGATTCATAATCCGTTAATAAATAGAACAAGAAATGGAAAACATAAGTTAGCGGGCAGTAAAACGAACCAATCTGTTCAAGAGTGCGAAAACTAATGACATATATTTGTTATCTATCTACAGACAGCCTACCTTGATCGAATGATAGGTGTAGCTTCAATCATGGGTTGCATGCACTCCTTCACTCCTCCTGAAGCTGTATCGATTGAAGTCCCATCTCCTTCCGGCAGGTCTCTAGCTTCACACTCGCCAGCGTTTCGGTCAAGACGTCGGCGATCATGGACTCGGTAGGGCAGTTTACAACCTGGATTACGTTGTTGCTTACCAAGTCTCGGATGAAGTTGAACATGGTTGAACCGCGTGTCGATGTGCTTGGTTCTTCGACTTCCACCTTCAGCTCGCAGCATTGCTATGCAGCTCTGATTATCTTCGCGGCCAACGATTGGCCCGGCGCTTCGATTATTCTGTACTCCGCTTCATCCTGGCAAGCTATAAGCATGTCGTCCACGTAAAGCAGTACACATGACGAACGACCATACTTCGTCCACACGAACACAATTTGCAAACTTTTTCGCAGCAGGCACCTGCCGCTGCGGCTGCCTCATGTAGATGGTTTCGGCTAGGTCCCCGTACATGTAGGCCGATTTTACGTCCACATGCTTCACGAGTAGCTTCCTCCTAGCGGCAGTCGACAGCAGCGTGCGAAAGATAGTCTGCATCGCGACGGGGGCAAAAACCTCGTCATAATCGGTACCGTATCGTTGGCTGAATCCTTGTGCGGCAAGTCTTGCCTTGTATTGGGTGACATTACCGTCACCGTCCATCTTCCTTTTATACACCCATTTGCAGCCAACAGGTTTGCGATCGTTGGGCAAAGGAACGACCTCCCAAGTGCCATTCTCGTGCAAGGATTGGATCTCCTCCTCCATAGCGGCGCTTCCACAAATCTCGCTCCGGGCACTTCATCGCCTTTCGAATGAACGGGGCTCGCAGTACTCCTGGACAGTCAAAAACCTCTGTGGCGCGGCTGGATCGGCGAACGTTTGTGGTAGCGCCAAACTCCTCCTGTCCCTCGGAAGCGTGCTCGGTAGCCTGTGGTACTACGTCACATGGACGTATTGTGTCGTCCCGGTCATCTTCGTCGTTGGATGTGGCAGTTTCAAAACCGTTGAAGTCGCTGGATTCACCGTCGTCTTGATTATCATCGACCTCGGAGTCCGTTGCTGCGGGAGCATCATCATCGTCTTCCTCAGGCGCAGTAGAAGTGTGCAGGGCCCATAACCTATTAGCGGGCAGTAAAACGAACCAATCTGTTCAAGAGTGCGAAAACTAATGACATATATTTCTTATCTATCTACATACAGTCTACTGTGATCGAATGATAGGTGTAGCTTCAATCATGGGTTGCTTGTACTCCTTCAAAAATTAGCAAAATGTAGTTTTTCGCCACTGTACAAAATTTATCCTTATCATTTCGTTTTCTTGATTAAAACCCAAGTCAAAGCTCGTTTTTGAATTATGACATATTTTTAACTTATTCAGTACTTTCTAAAGAGTCTTCTCAGAACATTGAAAGTTTTTTGGTACAATAGTTAAAAAGTTACAGCTCTTTATGTATGTGTGTGTAATTTTCATCGAATCGAGCTCTTTAGTGGGACAGCTTGAGCCTGCTAGTGAAAGAAGCGGCATGCTATACCTACGGTCTAGCATGTGTTTACACTTAGGCTAGGTAGGTCCTCACCTAGCCAAGTGCAGATGGGCGCACAGTGGGGTCCCAGACACCTGAGAAGATAACTCAGGGTGTGGGGATGGTAGAAGTAGTGCTCCCGACCCACTAAACCTTACCCTGTGCTCTTGCCCTCCCCGGAACCGCCCGAAAGCATTACATCATGGGAGGGGCAGTGTTGGGAAAATATCAAAAAATCAAATCTCACCAACGCCCAAGATCACGCTTGATTTTCGTAGACAAAAATCAACAAGCAAACTACTGCTGTTGATTTTGCAAGCTGTGATATCGCAGCTCGGAATATCAAGCTAACAAAACTCACCAACTGCAAATCTCACCAATCTGTGGTGAGATTAAGTTTAATGATTTTTGCTTTACACCCGAATGCAACCGAAACTTCCATAACGGCTTGCAGCAGTCCCTTCGCGTCTGCCATCGGTGAAGATTAAAAAGAGATAGCAAACTATGCTTTCTCTGTCTAAGAAAACGATGTGCAACGGAATCATGTTTGTGTTTAGTCAACGCTCAGCTTGATGTTTGCACGTTGTGAATAGTCTCGCAATATCAAAGGAGCTTGTAAAATCAATATCAAGCATGATATTTTGTTCCAATATCACGCGTGATATTGCGAGCCCATGAGAGCGGAAAAATATCAATTGATTTCTGATTTTGCCAACACTGGGGAGGGGGCCGGTTGCGCTATGGCGCATCACACTAGTGGTGTGTCACAGACGTGACACTCACTACTGCACAGTGAGCAGCTGTGCAGGGCCTTCCTCTTATTGTTCGCTGTTAATTGTTCGCCTGAGTTCTAGAGCAGACGTGATAGCCAGCCAACTGTCCACGGCAGCACAGGACAGATGTGACCGCTTACCAGCTGCGTGTGCTTAGCACTCTAAGAACCCGGTGTCACTCCTGCCTTTGCACAACGAGGGTTTGTGCAGGGCTTATCGACCTCCTGGGACGAGCTGGACGGGGTTCCAGCGTCCTTACTCTGCTGTAGTTCGTTTAGTCGCAATATCTCTCCCTTGGGTTCGATAATTAACGTTTACAGGGCACCACGAGGAGGCGAACTACTTCATGCACAGTGGGGTTTGATAAAGTACAATTGCAATTACAATTACAGCGACGCCTATGGTTTAGTGGTAGGCATGATTAACTCTCATCCTAAAGGGGCTCGGGTCAATCCCAGTCGGCGACGCCAAGATTTTCTGAGGCATACAAACTCTGATCATGCCTAGCTTCTTAAGGGAAGGGCGGTTACTTGTTTTTGCCGGTTATGCCTCTGCTGCGATGCTCTGCCGGGTTTCAATCCAGCGCTGCTTGTAGATTTCGTGTCCGCCCCTTTGTAGTGCGTGGCTGGGAATTTATAGCCGATATCAACGGCTTCTGGTGACATCGACGATAGAGCTAAGGGCCACCAGACACGAATTATATACCGCAGGCATCGGTTGATGATCACCTGCAGCTTTTGAGTGTTCTCCGCTGATAAACATCAGCAGCACAAATTTCACGTTAGGATTGAAAATTCGTATTTTGGTGCGTTGACTTATCTGGTTAAATCTCCATACATTTCGTAAGCTCACAAAAGCAGCTCTAGCCTTCTTGATTCGTGCACCTATGTCGCTTTTGCTCCTGCCGTCTAACGCTATCTGGCTGTCACCAAGCTATGTAAGAGATCTTAAAAATTTTGGCTATGACCAGGATCTTGAAAAAAAAATGACAAAGTCTAGTCATGGTTCACGATAATTAAAGCCTAGCATTCTGAAATTAAAATCCATCTGGTACCGAGCGCGGACTGTTCTTTCCACTTATTGGGACATCTTCCTGTATCTGTGCAATTTTGATGAGCTTTCAGAAGAGAGATTTTAATTTTAACAACGTTCATTCCCAGGGGAACGACCCTTCGTCTGTTCGTGGATGTACTGTGGGAAACGATTTACGCGATCCGATGAGCTGCAGCGACATCGAAGGACTCACACCGGCGAGAAACGGTTCCAGTGCCCGGAGTGCAGCAAGAAGTTTATGCGCAGCGATCACCTGTCCAAGCACATCCGGACCCACAACAAGCTGAAGAAGGACCACGTGCGGTACCTGATGGAGGTAGGTTGAAGTATTGGCAATGCATTAGCATAGCGTGATCTTGTGATCTTGCCTTCTTTAGTCTGCAACTCATCGCGATGATCTTTCTAAGAAAAAAAAAAACGATGGGTAGCGAGTAGATGGTTCAGTTTTCTTTTTCTTTATTTTTGCACGTCCATACGTATGTGTTTTGTGAAACGACCTCGCAGTTGGGCGATTCGATGAAATCGGGTGGGCTCAGTGACGACGGTGACGACGATCTGGAAATGATGGACGACGACATGAAGGCGGAGGAGATTGACGATGACGAAGAAGACGAAGAAGATCCGAATCCGTCGCCAGGGAGTCTTGTCCCTGGACTAGATATCCTCGTCAAACCTAAACTGGAACCAGGAGTCGACGGTCCTGGTGGTGTTTCTGCGGTGGCGACCATGCCGGGACCGACGCCAACGCCTACGGTTGGCCTAATGGTTGCCGGTGGCCACGCCACCGGAACGATGCAGCCAGTGGCCGTGACGAATGGTTCCGGCACTGGCATAGTTTGGATTACGTCAGCCCACGCCCCTCTGCTGGGTCTGCAGCAGCCTCCGCCAGCTCCACCACCACTCTACAGCATCAAACACCTCAACAATTCGCAGGTTGTTATCTAGGATTAGTTGATTTTATGGTTTAGTTGGATAGTTTCCGATATGTTTAGTAGACTTCGTAGCTGTGTTTCTTAAAGTTGGTGCAGTACAGGAGCTGACTCATATGTTTTCTCTTCTTTTCTCTGCGGAAATCATCTTACAGGAAGTGGCAAACTCGGCTCATTCGGCCTCCTCGGACAGTAATGACAGCTCGGACGAGAAGATGATGATCACCCTCGGCCCCGACGACCAGGATCAATCGATCGAGTCTAACTAGCATATCGAAACGCTGTCCATACACCAATTTGCATCTTTCGACAGCTGTAGATTACCGTTTGGGCAGTTCCAGGCACAGTTTTAGGCACATTTTCGGACCACTGGGAAACGGAACGCGGCTGGGAAGCATCGGATGGCTTTACTTCAATCAGGTGCCTCCGATCCGTGTTCAGTTCTAACAAAATTCAATAGCATTGCATTGTCCAAGTAGGTAGTGAACTGACATGAAAAAAGTTGAATTCCAATAAAAAAAATGTTATTTTTCATACTTACAAATGTTATTTTCGATGAGTACGCAAAAAAAAAAATATCAACTGTAACTCTTACAATGAAAGTTCGAATGCAAATGGACATCCGTGCACATACTATCATAACAAAAATCTAAATCCATCGATAAGTATTTCCCAATTTAACAAATCAAATTCTTAGTTGCCTTGGCAATGCATTGCGTAGAAATCCATCAAAATAAATCTAAAAATAAAAAAAAAATGAAATCTCAAATCTAATAGAAAAAAAAACGGGACTCGGATTGCGATGACCAGAGGCTCCAACGCAACAGGAAATGTATTCGGTATTTTTATTTGCAGATAATTGCAAACTTATCGTGGAAAATTTTACGAGGGACATACATTTTTAATAAACCGAAAGTCAAATCGAACGATTTCAAAACTTTTAAGAAACGATTCTAGTATTTGAGGAAAGTGCGATCGAACTCGAAAGGTTTTCAATTTTATAAATCAGAAGAAAAAGATTCTGCGTAGTTATAATCAACAGCCCGGCAGTAGTGAGTAGGATTTGTGTAATTCAATCGATGAATGGAATCCTAGAAATGTAAGCGCTCCGTGTAAATGTGCGTGTACGAGTACGATTAGTTTTTTTTTTGTTTAAATATGTAGTCTAAACTGTTACTGAACTCTTTCCCTCGATGCTTTTTCATCAGCCCCATTGTGTAAAAAGAATGAAACCGAAATCAAACACTAACACATTGAACCATTTCAAGTCTAACTGTTCTCGATGTTCGTATTATTACTACTACTACACGTGTATTGAATTAACTATAATAGGAAGCAAGCGCAAGTGATCAATTTGGAGGATTCACTTCTTTCAGTTCTATACAAACTATTATGTAGGTCAAATTTTAATTGGAGCACTTATTTATCTGATTTAGCGTAATCATTGATTGTTGGTTTTAATTGTTTTCAATCCTTTTTGGAACTGATCGGAAGCCTAAATTAATTAAGAACGGAGAAAGTTTGTACCTTATTATTCGCTAGATTTGAATAATTTTCCTAAATTGTAGAATTATTAAAAATTATAAGAATCCTGCTATTTTTCGTTGATTACTGGGAACTGTACTATAACTTGTGTATTCGTCTACAACGTGAATAGGTTGGAAGTAAAAATAAGACTTCGATATTTTTAAAACTTACCACTTGTATTTACTAGCGATGACACTGCCTGGGAATTTTATTGTCATAATCTTGTAGTTATCAGTTCCTCCTCACCTGCCTCAGAATACTCTCAGAGATTTCCCTTGTTCTCCAGAATTCCGCTTAAAATTTCTTCTGGATCTAACCAATCTAGGACAGAATAATTTAGTCATATTAGACTTTTGCGTGTCCCCTGAGTTTTTTTGCAAAAGAATTATCGAGCGTCAATGTAGACCCTTCTTGCAACGTAGACAGCCGATGGTTCCAGGACCCACAATTATATCGATGCTCGTTTACAGTAATCTGGTCATGTAATCGGTGGTGGATGCTGAGAGGCTTTCAAAGATTGAACGACAACTGCAATGTATGACGTACGTCTACATATTCCAAGCACTGAGGCGGTATGATTAGAACCATTCATTGGCCACTTCACGTACGCAGGCATGCACATCATCGGTCCACATTTGATCATGGTTGGACGGAGTGTGAAACTTGTCTCACTGGTTGGGCCACTCATCTAGAGCGTATCGCTAGTTCCTTCACGGATTCCTATTAAAAAGCGAAAAGAACATGCAAAAAATGGAAAAATCTAACGTGCTTTTTTTTGCTGCGTGTAATTCTTACGTTATAATTGAATTTTTTGCATTAAACACCATTTGTTTGTGCTGTTATTGAGTTTTAAGTGTTCATGAAATTGTGCTATAGTGGATTGCCTCCCGGGAGCCCAGTTCTCCGAGTTCGGATGCCACACCGCTGGATCCCCGATCAAGTGGTAGTTACGAAACAAGAAATCTCCTAAGAGGAAAAGGTGACAATTGGCTTCTTCCTCTTTTATTTATATCTCTATCTCTATCTCTATCTTACGCACATGAAATCGTCCAATCAGGAGCTGGTTCACGTTTGACAGAAAAGTAGTTCATTTCCGCCCCCGTATTGTCACCTCTTCTCTTAGGAAATCTCCATTAAACCTCAACATCAAGAAGAAGAGAAAGAAGAAGGTCTTCATTTGTGACATTTCATAGCAGTTTTTCAGAGCCCGAGAAAGTTGACCAGTTTTGGTGCGATCCTTCCATTTTTATCTATAAAATAGAATACATACAGGGGTTACTCAAAATAACTAGGATAGGCAAATTTTTGGTCAACTTTGGAGTGTTGTAACTTCGTCAAATATGATCCGATTTTAAATCTTCCAAAAGCATTTTACTGGAAAAACTAATATTGTTCTACGGTGTAGCCACGAAAATAATCGTGGTCACCGGATACCGGTGTCTAACTTGCTAAATTTTTGGTGAAATTTTATATATGATGCTGGTTAAATATATATATTTTTAGTAAATACAACGAAAGAAGAGCCATTTCTAAAGCGAATCATATGCCAAGAACTAAAATCGGCCTACAATCAACCGAGATATGGCCGTTTCCCTGGAATCGATTCTGGTGGAGGGTTCTGAATGTGGGCAGATCATTTAATCACTCAAAACATGCCGTGCGATAGCTCTTTCTTCATGGTTTCTCGTCAACTTTAAATGCATCATTGACCACATTGGCCACTCTCGAAACATCCAGTATGCCCCCGGGGGAACTTGGAGCAGAGGACAATTGCATTTTTACACCAAAACATGCCGTGCGACAGCTCATTCTTCATGGTTTTTCATGAATAGGCATTCATTAAACTTCAAATGGATCAGTGACCACATTGGCAGCTCTCGGAATCACGGGATATCCCCGGGGGAACCTGTAGTAGGGGGCAATTGCGTGTTTACTCAAAAACATGCCGTGCGACAGCTCTTTCTTCATAGATTTTCATGAATATTCTTTCTATAGACTTAAAGTGAATCATTGACCACATTGACCGCTCTCGGAACCACTGGGATGCCCCGAGAGAACCTGTAGCAGGGGACAATTTCTTTTTAACTCAAAAACGTGCCGTGCGACCGCTCTTTCTTCATGGATTTTTATGAATATTCTTTCTATAGACTTAAAGTGAATCATTTACCATATTGGCCGCTCTCGGGACCTCCGGTATGTCCCCGGGGGAACCTGGAGCAGAGGACAATTGCATTTTTACACCAAAACATGCCGTGTGACAGCTCATTCTTCATGCATTTTCATGAATAGGCATTAATTAAACTTCAAATGGATCAGTGACCACATTGGCCGCTCTCGGAGTCACGAGATACCCCCGGGGGAACCTTTAGTAGGGGGCAATTGCGTTTTTACTCAAAAACATTACAGTTAATTTCATCACATATTATTGATACATTCATTATTGGTAAGCGTCATTACCTCTCACCCCAGCAGGCCTGGGTTCAATCCCAGTCGGCGCCGCCGGGATGTTCTGAGGCATAACATCTCTGATCACGCCTTCCATCGGAAGGGAAGTAAAGCCGTTGGTCCCCGGTTCATGAGTTGATGGGTCGATAGGTAGGGTTCGAGGTGTGAGAGCTGCCTCCCTGGCGTCGATAGCATTGGGGCTCAGCACGGAAAACAAGATCGACGGAAAACAAATCAAGGAAAAAAATCGGAGCGTTTGGTACGGGTATGTCCACGCATCCTTGCACCCCTGTAGATTGACGAAATGCATCGCTGTTTAAATAGATTTATTTAAACTCTAATCATTTCACAGAATCATCTTTGCGGCAAATGCAACGCAGTAGGCCCAAAGAAGAATACTAAGATGAAACTGTCGGAAGAAAACATTCTATTTTAGTGTCCTCTTCACGGTCCCTTTCATCCAATGAATACCCCCGTATGCAAGGTAATTTTGTGATTTTGCTGCACCCTCGGTAAAGAAGAAATTTGGCGCACTTTTTTTTTTATCAAAACAATCACACCAAAATCAGAGATGTAACATTTTTTAATTACTCGATTAAAAACTAAAGCCTAGTATACCGATCGAAGCGAAACAAAAAGTGAAGCACGTGAAAAATCATGAAATTTTGCTAGCGAAAAAGGTTGTGAAGAAATGTTTGTGGAACATTTTCCAGTTTCATTTTTTCGCAGTTTACAGTTCATGTGATACGAAATCGATCAGTTTACAGCTTGAGCTTGAGCTTGAGCTTGATTGACCGCCCACGGTTGCTACTCTGTTACTGCCAGATCAGCTGTAATTACACAGAGAACCAATAGACGATGCTTGGGACTAGCAATCATCCTCAATGTGTAAAAACCAAGGGGGGGAGGTGGCTGTCAAATACGAACAATCGTCGCCTACCTCGAATAACTGGTTACAAACGTAAACAAGCCATAAGAAACCTACAGGGTTTGTTTACGTTTGGAACCAGTTTCATACAAGATGATCAGTAGGCTGATTTGACAGCACGTCCCCCCCCAGGTAAAAACTGGTGATCTTAAATTAGGCAATACCAGCGCCGGCCGCGCCCGAACACAGCTCAAGAAAGGAATGGGAAGGATTGTATTGACATGACACTCGCTTTGATGGAAGCCGAGAACACCTCTGCACTTCCACGAGGAATCACTGGGATGTTGGATAAGAGGGTTGGGTTTGCAGCAGGGTTCGTTTTGGTAAACGATAAGCTGAATTGATGTCCTAACAATCATATAACGCGAAGGAGCTTGGGACTAAACCCAC